TGCCCGCCTAAATATGTATACAACACATGGTACAGTAGTGTACAGGTTGATGGTCCCCTACTCTTTATCCACCGGGTTCCTATGGCTCAGCATTGGCAGCAGCCGCCTGGTACCGGTAGGCTGTGCCGCATGACCCGAGAGTGAAGCGGCACAGCCTACCCACACTGTATGACACCGGCTCGGGTCGCCTCGTAGAGCGATTTGACCGGACGCTGCGCTACACCGGCTGGGGGAGGGGGGGGGGTAAGGGTCAGGTCTGTCTATTTGGCTCGGCTCGGTGGATGAGGCGGGCTGGAGTGTGGTGTGGGGCGGGGGTGATGTGGGGAGGGAGTGAGCGGACCTGGGGCTTGGTGTGTGTGGTCACTTGTCGCATAGAACCGATCGTAATCCACCCTCCAAAAATTCGCTTTAGAGATATTCACAAAACCCAGGGGGTTCAAACACCCATCTCTCAAGTGGGGTGCGGAAGGACAGGTAAGGGTCCATACGGTCTCCTCATGAATTGCAGCAAAGAAAGAAAACAGACCTGTCACCAAATAATTTTTTCTGAAAAGTGGACTAATCGCATAGCCTCGGACACAGAAATAAACATCCAGCACGCGAAGCGTCTCGAACCGGGCCTCTCACTCACTACCGGTCAGTTTGACAGTCTAGCACTCCTACGCTGAGCTACACCGGATGGTGGCCACGGCCGGGGCCAAGGCCCTATATACCAGGTAGGGTCGTCCGGCGATTCTACCTTTTCGTGACGTCAGCTCGTGACGTCATTTGGAGTCAAGTCTCGAAGTCCCATTCAATCCCCATGTAAATGAGCGATTTTCAAAGCACTGTAGAATGAAGTCTGCACAAGATATATCAAACCTAAGTATCTTATCTGAAAGAGCAGACAATTTTCTGCAAGTTATCTATTACGTGTTTTTCGCTAAATCTTTTGCTTTTTTCACAAAAGCGTAAAATGTCCCCCCATGTCTCCGCAGCGTCCCTGCCGCCGGCCGCCGCGCGGTCGCGGTAGTGTAGTGGTTAGCGTGCCCGCGCAGTATTCCAAAGGTCCCGAGTTCGAATCTATGTGGTGCGGAACTTTAATTGTAATTCCAAGCTGAATATACGCACATCCATAATAAATTATTATTCATATAGCTAAACTGTCACCAAGCTATCCATATAAATTGACTTCACCCAAAATATCGGCAAGATTCTATTAAAATATAAATTCAAATATGGCGGCTTGGACTGCCGCGTGCGTTAGGCTCCGCCCATAGCTCCGCCCACATGCGTGACGTCATTCGTGTTAGTGGACACGCAGAGAGATAGGGGACGACATGGGCCTGGCCGGGGCTAAGTCTGGCCGGGCGGGCGGCGGGTCCGGGAGGTCGGCAGCAAAGTCATGGTGTGTCAAAAGTGGAAATAGCCGCCCGGGTTTAGTTCGCCAGCCTTGTCAATAGATGGCAGTACCACAATATGGACAGCGGATCGTGCAATTGACGTCAAATTTTCGTTATCTGCTAAGAATTGAATGGCGGATCTTATTATGCAAGAATCAAGTAAATCGGTCCACAACTTTTCTAGCAACAGAAATGTGAAGTCAAACACCCTGCCAGAGCGGCGGCGCGGCGGCCGGCGGCGGCCGTTACGCGCCGCCTGGGAGACTGGCGGCGCTGAACGGTTCCGACTTGGCACTGCACTAAAGCCTGTTAACTGCTTGGAATAGTTATTATAGCAAAATTTTCATTCAAGTGAGGGATAACCAAGGGCAGGAAGTATGTATGCTTGTGTGCGTACTGTGTAAGCCAAGAAACTGCATTAGCAGATACTCGCTAATATTAGATCCAGCCAAGTCCCCAGGAGATGTGTTCCTGATGGGTCAACAATATTTATCGTTCGAGGGCGGATACAGTTTTAACAATACAAAAAATATTTTTGCACAGCTCTATTCCTTGAATAATTCTCTTCAACGCCTCATTCCTAGTTAAGCGAATTAGCCCACCCTGGTTGAATAAATAAGGCGATTTCGCCACAAGGTCGCGGAAAACCGACCGAAAACGGCCGCGCTCAACGTTAATTTGGGCATGCAGACTCTTAAAAACTCGCATTGGGCGGGTAGGGTTTCCCAGGTATTGGCTCCAAAACACCGTATTCGGCTCCCGAATACGTCCAAGTGACCCGCTTCGTTCCTAGTTAAGCTCTAATTAGATCAAGTGACTCATAAGGAGCGAAAAAGCGACAAAAAGTATGAATTTCCCTATGGCGGCGGGCTGCCGGGTTGCCAGACGGCGTACCGGCTATTTCCACTTTTGACACACCATGTCAATGAATGTTTTTGTGGTTTCGGGTGCCGGTCGCTCTAGCTTGGTGGAATGATGATGGATCATTGGCAAAACTTTCAACGTGGAGTCCCGGTTCGAGCCTCATCGGGGCACCGGCTACTTTTCCGAGTTAGGATCTGGTTTGATTTTAGTGGTTGCGAGCCATTTATACGGATTTATATCTACATGTCGATTGTCGATTGATTGATTGATTGATTGATTCATTCGTTCGTTTAATACATGTCGACATTTAGCATACGAATTGACATCCAGGATCAATCCGATCAATCTACCATTTTCATAAGCGTTTTGCCTAAATATCATGCATATATGTGGCACAAGACCTATGGTTGCCTCGATACCGTGCCAAATCACGTTTTGCACAATGCACAAGTAAATTATATTCGTTGGGTCTTCCGTGCATTGTGCTTAGCAAAAACAGGAATGCAATTGTTAAGCGACGCAAAATGTGCAATGCAGCAAGTGACCACACACACACGCCCAGCCCCCATGGCCCACCAACACGCCCCACACCACTCGCCAGCCCACGCCAACCACCGAGACGAGCCCCCCCTCCCGCGCTGGTCTGACGCGACAGCTGGTCTACAAAGCGCTCCACCCGGCGACCCGAGCCGATGTCAAACGGCGTGGGTAGACTGTGCCGCTTCACTCTCGGGTCATGCGGCACAGCCTACCGGTACCAGGCGGCTGCTGCCAATGCTGAGCCATAGGAACCCGGTGTATAAAGAGTGGGGGACCATCAACCTGTACAGGACTGTACGGCACCCGGCCCTGTCTGAGCTATGAGCCGATCGCGATATTTTCGGCTTTCCCCAACCCAAGCTCGATTAGGAACGTTCTCCTTCCCCACCCGATTGCTGATGTCAATTCAAATTCAATACCTCATCTCTGTCGGCCCGACCATAACCCATTCATTGCACACCGTTCAGCGCCCCGCCCCGCCAGAAGTATCCTAGCGCGCTGAGCAGTTGCCTCCAGCCGCGTCATCGCGAGGCCCCGCGCGGCCCATAAATTAATACATTGCGCGAATAGCCGTGTCGCCCCCCTGAGTCTACCCTGTACCGAATAGAGGTCCAATGCAGCTAACCTTTCACCATAGTTAAGGCCAGTCTTTCCATCAATGTGTCTCGTCCATCTCCGCTGAACCCGTTCAAGAAGTCGAAGGTCTTGTACATACCCAGTATTCCAAATGCAAGAACAGTACTCCATGATTGGTCGGATGTGGGTTGTGAGAAGGGACAGCATAAATTGAGGAGAGCGACACACTGTGGACTTAAGTAGGCTTTCAGCTAGGCCACCCCAAGGCCATCTATAGAAGGTACAGTCACTCCCCCGCCGACCAATCAGAGACGGATCCTGAGTGACGTCACCCCTGATGCTCGCCAGGGGTACTCCATTCCTTTACAACGTAAAAATGACTAACTTCATTTGAAGATTGTTGGTGACACTCTTCACATATTGCTCAGCCGTTGATGTCATTGGAAAGTCCAATCAATTTTCTAGCGATAAAAAAGAGCAGCAATATGCTAAGAAATGGCCGGTTTTAAAGATATAGACGATTTAAAAACCCTCTGCAGTTGCAGGAAAGCAACGTAAAAGCGCATCGAGCTTATATTTTTACTATGAATAAATCATTTTTAATTAAGTTTTTAGATATGGTATCGATTTATTCAACAACTTTATTACAATATTTTTATTACTTGGAACTTTATTTCAAAATAATATTTTCAAAAATGGCAACTGTTAGCAAGTAGCTTTGAAGCGATTGTGGCGCACCGCGCCATTATTGTCCTGAGGCCCCCTTATGATGTCATCAAAAGTGGAGTGACATGGGCCTGGGCCACCCGCCTTATGGGCTCCATTTCGGATGTGGTCATGAAACTTCATGGTGACATCAACAAGGACGCCCAAGTCAGAGGCCTTGCTTGCTGGAGTTATCGGAGCACCATTCAGGATGTAGGATGGCTGGCTAATGTTGGGACAGAGTCCAGCAAAGCGTAGGACCACTCATTTTTGGCGTTCATGTGCAAACCCCACGATCACGGTATATAGAGAACTAGGTAAAACCGGTTTGCCGCTTCAACACTAAGGTATTTTGACCACTATTTTCAGCTGACCTTTTCAGTCCAAAAATGAAAACTATGCAACAGATTTCAATATGTTTTATTATTCAAATATATATGTTCGAGAGAAAACGTACCGTGCCGCACAGCGACGGCAGCGCGCGGCGGGCACGGCCGAGCCCCGCCGTCCACGTGGTCCTCTGCAGGGCCTGGGGGGGTCATCTGGAGCACATGTGTGCTGACCGGCCCCAACGCGCCGGGCCGGCCGCCGCCGGCCGGCTCGGCAGTTCGCGGCGAAACGACGACGACGGCGCGGCTCCGCCGGCGCAACGGCGCCGGTGTCGTACGATTCGATTGACGTGCAGTGTGTGACGAGTAATCCAGAAATAGACATTCATCAAAGAACTCTTTTGGTCCTCCGGTTAATGAAATGATACGATCAGATACGCAATTCTTAGTGAACGGGACGATTACATGAACACTTTGGTCTGCCGTGCTGGATCGGAGTGAACGACCACGATTCTCATGAACATTCTGGTCCTCCGGGCCGGATGTCAGTGAACTAGTGTGATGGATTTACAGTGACGACGCGGTGTTGTGAACTGTGAGTACAATGTCTGACAAGCGGTCACGACATGCCAGTGATGCGAAATCACATCAAAGCCGCCGAAGCTCGTATCACACGAGGAGCGAGGCGAGCTTCAGCACGGCGTCCTCCGGTCTCAGTGAAGCCCGCCGCCGGGCTGCACTTAGCCAGCTCCAGGCGGAACAGGCCCAGCGCGCCGCCGCCGCCAAGGCTGAGCTGGCCCGGCGTCTGGCGGAGGCGGACGCGGAGCAGGCCCGGCGTCAGGCGGAGGTGCAGGCGGAGCAGGCCCGGCGTCAGGCGGAGGCGCAGGCGGAGCAGGCCCGGCGTCAGGCGGAGGCGCATGCGGAGCAAGCCCGACAACAGGCGGACGCGCAGGCAGAGCAGTCCCGGCGGCAGGCGGAGCAGGCGGAGGCGCAGGCAGCGCTGCAAGCTCAGGCGGCGAAGGATGAAGCTGAATACCGTCAGCTGGAGCTGGAGCTGCTGGAGCAGGAGGAGCGAGGTTCGCAGCTCGCTCGTTCTTACGCTGCACCATCCGGCGCCGGCCTCCCGGTGGTTGCAACAGAGCCACCGGCGCAGGTATGCGTGTCTCGACAGACGGACGAGTCGGTCACGCGTACCCGACAGTGGCTGACTCAGTCTCAGCTACACGTGCCACCAGTGGATACGGCTCCCGTCAGCGCTGTGCCTCCACCTGCAATGCGTCTGCAGCGCCCGTCCAGTGACGACACGCGAGCGGTCCCGCATCTGCCGCGCATCACACTGGAGAAGTTCGGAGGCTCTGCCATCGAGTGGCCGCGGTGGATAGCCCTCTTCAAAGCGCTGGTACACGACCGCGCCGACCTCACCGACGTAGAACGGCTGACCTATCTGCAGACTCACCTGACGGGGCCGGCGAGAGAGTCTGTGCGGGGCATGCTCTGCGACGCCAGTCTATACAGCACCGCCCTGTGTGAGCTGGAGCGAGAGTTTGGTGACCCGTCCCGTGTGATACACGCCACGATGAAAAGACTGCTCACAGCGCGGCCGGTGAAAGATGGCGACCTGTCAGCGCTGACAGAGCTGTCTCGTGAGCTCCACACCGCGGTGAGCGTCTTACAGTGTCTGCACTACGAGCACGACCTCGCTGCCGCCACGAACGTCACCACTGTGACTGGGAAGCTACCAGCCTCCCTCGCCTGGAGGTGGGGCGAGCACATGGTGGAAAACGGCATCGCTCGTCCGACGCTCGTCGATCTCGACGAATGGCTTCGCCGTCATGTGTCAGCTGGTCGGTTGGCCTTGAACGTGACCACCAAGCAGCCGCCGAAGGTCGAGGCTAACGACGCTGAGTGCCGCCCGCGGCGCGTGTTTACCACCACGTCGGCGCGGCCCACGCCGGCGGCTGTAAAGCGGGGGAGGACGGCGGCCATAAAACCATCAGCGGACGGGAACAGCGCCGGCTGTGCCATGTGTCAGCAAACACACCAGCTCCAGCGCTGTGACAAATTTCTCGCGTTGACTGTGAGTGAAAGGGCAGAGTTTGTCGGCAGAAACAGACTGTGTTTCAACTGCCTGGGCCGCGATCACATCAGCGCTACGTGTCCCAGTGATGCACGATGTGACGCGGAGCACTGCAGCAGGCGTCATCACGCGCTGTTGCACAACGGCAGACGAGTGTTTCCGCGGAGTGATAACGCTGGTGGCACGCCGTCATCCACCAAACACGTCGGCACAGCGTCGGTCGAACCTCGCGGTCATATTCTGCTGCAGGTGGTACCCATCACCGTGAATGGTCCGGCAGGTAGCCGCACCACAAACGCGCTATTGGACTTAGGAAGCCAGGTCACACTGGTCACCGACGGCCTGTGTGACCGGCTCGGCATCTCGGGGCCCGCGGGCAAATTGTGGCTGAGCACTCTGAACGGGAACCAAACGATGCAGTCACGGCGCGTATCCTTTGCTGTTGAGGCTGTGGGCGGCGACGGCAAGGCGCACTGCATACAAAACGCCCAAACGACGCCGACGTTAAACGTGTCAGCCAAGGTCATGGACTGCACGGTGGCAAAGGAGGAATGGCCGCACCTGGCCGACCTGGATCTCCCCAGCGCCACCCGCGACCCGGTGGAGGTGCTCCTGGGGACGGACGCCATCGAACTAATTGTGCCACGGGAAGTGATTGAAGGGCCGCCGGGGACGCCGTGCGCGGTAAAAACCCTGCTGGGATGGTCAGTGACCGGGCGAGTGCCGGGGCGTTCCATGTATGAACAAGGTGAACACGCTGTGCACCATGTACGCGTCAGTGACGAGAGGAGTGCGCTCATCGAACTTCAGAATCAAGTAAAGCTGTTCTGGACGACCGAGGCTTTCGGTACAAAGTACGAGAGTGCACAACTGCACTCTAAAGCAGATCAGAGAGCCATGTCCATTCTGGAGAGCGTCACGAGACAGACCGGCGACCGATACGAGACCGGTCTCCTGTGGCGTGATGACGAGGTGCAACTCCCAGACAACCGTCAGACTGCTCTTACGCGTCTGAAGGCGGTGGAGAGACGCCTGGACCGAGACCCTGACCTCTGTCGGTCGTATCGAGACACGATGAACGACTACATCACCCAAGGTCACGCCAGCAAGGTCAGCGGAGAGCAGCGCACGCACGGGCGGACGTGGTATCTGCCCCACCACGCCGTTCAAAACCCCAACAAGCCAGGGAAGGTGCGTGTCGTGTTCGACGCGGCGGCGAGGTGTGGTGGCACGTCACTGAACGACAATCTCATCACTGGACCCAACAATCTGAACTCACTCGCCGGTGTGCTCATGAGGTTCCGACAGGGCCGCGTCCCGATCGCGTCTGATGTGAAACAGATGTTTCACCAGATAGCCGTCCGTGCTGAGGACCGACAGGCACAGCAGTTTCTCTGGCGTGATATGGACACGACGAAGGAGCCAGAGACGTATCAAATGAACGTGGTCATCTTTGGTGCAAAATCATCGCCATCCACGGCCACCTACGTGCTACGACGGTGCGCAGACGACGGCAGAGACAAACACCCTCAGGCGGCGGACAAGGTCGTCAGCCGATTCTACATGGACGACTACCTGGACTCCGTCGACACCGAGAGTGAGGGACGCGAGCTTGTCAACTCGCTCAACTCTCTGCTGAGCGCCGGCGGCTTCCATTTAACGAAATGGACCAGCACAACAGCGGATGTGCTGTGTGACATCCCACCCGAAGACAGGTGTGATGAAATGCGCGACCTGGACCTGTCAGCAGAGTCAGCATGGAAAAAGACGCTGGGTGTTCACTGGTGCGCTCAGGACGATCAGTTCCGGTTCAAGGTCATGCAGCTGGATGGCGGAGACACGAAACGCGCCATTCTGAGCAGAGCGTCGGCAGTGTTCGACCCGCTGGGCATGCTGGCTCCGTTCATTGTCCGAGCCAAATGCCTCATCCAAAAGATCTGGCTCGGCGGATGGGACTGGGACGAGGCCATCAGCGATACAGAACTCCTCGCTCAGTGGCACAGCTGGCAGCTGGAGCTGAACGACATGGACTGCGTGCGAGTGGGCCGCTGTTATCGCCCTGACGACAGAGCAGCCATGAACTGTTAGCTGCACGTGTTCGGCGACGCCTCTGAGAATGCGTTCGGTGTGGTGGCGTACCTGCGGTTCGAGCTCGAGGACGGCACCGGCCACTGCAGCTTCGTGATGTCCAAGGTGCGCGTCGCGCCCATCAAACAGCTCAGCATACCTCGACTGGAGCTACAGGCCGCTGTCATGGCCGTCCGCGTGGCGGACACCATCAAGGCAGAGCATGATATGGCCATCAACGAGACCATCTTCTGGAGCGACTCGTCCACCGTACTCCAGTGGATCAACAGCGAGAGCAGGCGGTTTAACACCTTCGTCGCAAACCGCATCGCCGAGATCCAGGATGCGTCAGACGTGACTCAATGGCGACACGTGCCAGGGCCACTGAACCCAGCGGACATATGCAGCCGAGGCTGCTCGGTGACGGAGCTGGCGCCCGGCGGCGTGTGGGTTCAAGGTCCGGCCTTCCTGCGGCGCCGTCACCAGGACTGGCCCGCCGCGCCGCCCCGCGCGACGGAGCGCCCGAGAGACGAGGAAACGGCCGAAATGAGGGTAATAGCCTGCGCCACTGGGGGAGCTGAGCCGGCCATAAACCCCAGCCGGTTCTCATCATGGCTCAGGCTGCTGCGTGTGACAGCGTGGGTGCGCCGGTTCGCTCACAACAGCCGCAGCCGAGCAGCCGCTGATCGGCGGACGGGACCGCTGACTGCTGAAGAGCTGAGAGAAGCTGAGCGTGTCTGGCTGCTCAGCACACAGGCCGAGCAGTTCGGCGATGAAGTTGCAGCTCTCCAGCACGGAAGGCGGCTCCCATCGAACAGCCGACTGCATCAGCTGACACCCTTCCTGGACTCGACCGGCCTGCTGAGAGTCGGGGGCCGGCTGCGCCACGCCCAGATGGACTTCGAGGTCAAGCACCAGGTGATACTACCTGCTCGCGGAGACATCACTCGGCTGATCATCACCGACCGACACAAGAAGCTCGCCCATTCCGGTGCTGAACACGTGCTGACCCACCTACGGCAGCAGTTCTGGGTCATCTGTGGCAGAGCTGCAGTGAAGCGGTACACACGTGCCTGCATGCTGTGCCGGAAACGGTCAGCCCGGCCAGCACCGCCGCTGATGGGTGACCTACCAGCCTTCCGAGTGGGCGAGCCGGCCCCGGTCTTCGCTCGTGTAGGAGTGGATTTCTTCGGCCCACTGATGGTGAAGAAACATCGCAAACGAGAAAAGAGATATGGCTGCCTGTTCACCTGCCTGTCTACCCGAGCAGTTCATATCGAACTGGCGCACTCACTGGACACCGACTCGTTCATCATGGCCATGCGACGGATGATCGCGAGACGGGGCAACGTCAGCCTCGTGTGCTCGGACAATGGCACAAACTTCCGTGCTGGTGAGCGGGAACTGCGGCAGGCACTGCAACAGTGGAACCAGACAAAGATAGCGGACACGCTGTCTCAAGAAGGGGTTGAGTGGCGGTTCAACCCACCAGGAGCACCGCACTTCGGTGGCGTGTTTGAGCGACTGGTCCGGTCCGCCAAACGCGCACTGACGACTGTGCTGGGAGACCGAGCCGTGGACGATGAGACGCTTCGAACGGTCGTCACCGAGGTGGAAGGGCTCCTGAACGGCCGTCCGCTGACCTACATCAGTACCGACCCGGGCGACTACCAGCCACTCACCCCCAATCACTTCCTGATCGGTCGCGCGTCTCCCCAGCTGCCGCCCGGTGTGTTCGTCGACGGTGACCTGTGCGGCCGACGACGCTGGAAACACACCCAGGTGCTAATCGACCACATCTGGCGGCGCTGGCGACGGGAATACCTCCCGACACTCACCACGCGGGTGAAATGGCGCGCAGACACGGCTGACGTGCAGCTCGAGGAGCTAGTGCTGGTGACAGACGACAATCTGCCCCGCGGACACTGGCCTGTGGGGCGAGTGGTGAACGTGTTCCCTGGCGCCGACGGCCGAGTGCGGGTGGTTGAAGTGGCCACTGCCACTGGACGCTATAGGCGGCCGGTCTCTCGTCTCTGCCGTCTCGAGTGCGATGGTGACGGACAGTAAATGGACTCAGAGGGATAATGTGTGCGCGAGTGGGGCGGCTAGTGAGTCTTTTACGACCACCGTGTGCCGCCGCCGAGCGGCGTCGGAGTCTTGACATTTGTGAGTGTTAACTGCGTCCGTCATTCGTGTTAGGTTGACGTGTGCGTGTGTGAGAATGAGCCGCTCATTCCAGGGGCGGATCCAGGAAAACTCCAAGGGGAGGGTCATGAATCGAAGTGGTGCCCCTACCTATACCCAAAATTAAAAACTCAACGGATTTCGTCCACTTCATTTTGGTGGTGCCCCCATTTTCATTTTTTTTCTTTTTATTTTTTATTTTTAGTCAGTATCTTAACTCTTAGCCACAACCACATTTACCAATTGTAAGCAAGTATATATGAATGTGCTATGTCACGCTATGTGTATACATATATGTTGTGGACGCTGAGTAGTGAGTACTTACCAGGAACGTTATCAGGTAAGCAAATCGTTGTCAGTCCGACGAACTTGACCCTGGCGTCTAAAGGGTCTGTCCTTGACACTTCAGGCTTGTCAGGGGCACCAAAGTCCTTCCAGGGACACCACAAACCTGTCAGGGGCACCTACGGCCTTGTAGGGGCGCCACAGGCCCGCCAGGGGCACCACAGGTCTAGCAAGTATACACGACAGGCCTGTCAGGGGCACAACGGGCCTGTTGGGCCCATGAGCACCCCTAGGGGCAGGGGCACCACAGTCCTTCCAGGGGCACCGCAGGCCTGTGAGGGGCACCAGCGGCCTAGCAGGGGCACCAGTCAACACAGGTCTGCCAGGGGCGCCACAGACCTGCCAGGGGCACCACAGACCTGCCAGGGGCACCAGAGGTCTGCCAGGGGCACCACCGGCCTCGCAGGGGCACCTTGGGCCTGTCAGGGGCACCACGGGCCTGCCGAGGGGCACTTCAGACTTTTCAGGGGCACCAGTCCTCTCCGGGCGCAGGGGTACCAGCGGCCTAGCAAGGGCACCAGAGGCCTGCCAGGGGCACCAGCGGCCTAGCAAGGGCACCAGAGGCCTGCCAGGGGCACCACAGGCCTAACAAGGGCACCACGGGCCTGTCAGGGGCACCTCAGGCTTGTCAGGGCCCAGGGACACCACAGTCCTTCCAAGGTCACCGCAACCCTGTCAGGGGCACCAGAGGCCTGCCAGGGGCACCACAGGCCTAGCAAGGGCACCACTGGCCTGTCAGGGGCACCTCAGGCTTGTCAGGGCCCAGGGGCACCACAGTCCTTCCAGGGGCATTACAAGCCTGTCAGGGGCACCAGAGGCCTAGCAAGGGCACCAGAGGCCTAGCAAGGGCACCACAGGCCTGCCATGGACACCACAGGCCTGCCAGGGGCACCACCGGCCTTGCAGGGGCGCCTCAGGCCTGTCAGGGGCACCACGTGCCTGCCGGGGACACTTCAGGCTTGTCAGGGGCGTTACAGTCCTGTCAGGGCCCAGGGGCACCAGGCCCGTGGTGTCCCTGCTAGGCCTGTGGTGCCCCTGGCGGTCCTGTGGTGCCCCTGTCAGGACTGTGATACCCCTGATAGGCCGGTGGTGCCCCTGGCAGGTCTTTGGGCCCCCGGGCCTCAAGGGGGGGCCATGACCCATGTGACCCCCCCCCTTGGATCCGCCCCTGGCTCATTCTGTGCGCTGTCGCTTGTGTTAATTGTCATTTGTTTGCTGATTAGCCATTAGCTAACAGCTGTGAGCCGTTCGACAGTGCTACGCGTTCACACTGTCATAGTGCCCCTCCCGGGTCATTCGGCTGGTCGGTCTGTATGATTATTAGTTTACGACCTTAGAGTGTAGCAGCCTTAGATTGGGACCGACGCGCGGCGCAACCGATGTAGTTTACAGCCTTAGCTTTAGCGTTCGTTTATTGCTGTACGATACGGACGGAGACGCTGCCTGCGAGCAGCTGTTTGTTGTTTCGTTAATGTTTTCTCTCTTACGTTTAGAATTTCCGTGAGCGACGCGAAAATTCGGGCCGGCCATGTTCGAGAGAAAACGTACCGTGCCGCACAGCGACGGCAGCGCGCGGCGGGCACGGCCGAGCCCCGCCGTCCACGTGGTCCTCTGCAGGGCCTGGGGGGGTCATCTGGAGCACATGTGTGCTGACCGGCCCCAACGCGCCGGGCCGGCCGCCGCCGGCCGGCTCGGCAGTTCGCGGCGAAACGACGACGACGGCGCGGCTCCGCCGGCGCAACGGCGCCGGTGTCGTACGATTCGATTGACGTGCAGTGTGTGACGAGTAATCCAGAAATAGACATTCATCAAAGAACTCTTTTGGTCCTCCGGTTAAAGGAAATAGTTCACTTTCACGAAATTATTTTTTTGCAATGGATTTGTGATTTTTTATGTTCAAAATGATCAGCAAAGAAAATAAAACCTTTTTACAACAAAAGATTATTTTCTATATTTTTGATATAGGAAGAACTTTTCAGTTTCTGTAAGGCACACGCGATCCAGTATGAAAAGAGCATGGGTCCCGAAAATTCTTAAACTAGAGAAATTATCGCTGCCACCGGCATTTGGGCGATCTGCTCGTGCTTTTGTTACTGGAGCGCCTCACTGGAGCGAATTTCTCTAGAGTTCTCGTAGATAATTTCTCTAGTTTGTGAAGAATTTTCGGGACCCATGCTCGTTTCATACTGGATGCGAATATATGCAAGGCACACATCCTCAACGCAAGACACATTTTTCGGGACGAGAAATAGAATATCTTTGCCTAGGGTGATCGTTGGGCTGTAAAAGCTCCTGATTTATGCTCGTCTCAGCCCAAGCTACGGAACTGCTATTCCAGTTCAAAACCCATGTTAAAAAGTGAACTATTTCCTTTAATGAAATGATACGATCAGATACGCAATTCTTAGTGAACGGGACGATTACATGAACACTTTGGTCTGCCGTGCTGGATCGGAGTGAACGACCACGATTCTCATGAACATATATTTTTACTTAAAGGGACCCTCCCACCTTAACATTAGATTTGAGTTGAGATAGCCAAAATGGGGTCCCTGGCTCACAATTACCGGTTTCGGCACTCACAACATCGAGAAATGCCTTAAATCGGAAATATTGAATTTCAAAATTGCAGCATTTTGATTCAGAGGGGCTAATGCTTAGGTATACCCCTCTGAATGTGTGACGTCAGCGCAGATATCTAACGATTTTTAAATGTTTGACTAAAACGTTTTGTAGCACGCGGTGGTATATGCTATTTGCGCGCAACATCTGCCGCAAACGCCGCACTTCTAAAATAAAGTCGCTAGAAACAGCGGAGATCCCAAAAAAGTAAACAAAAGTAAAAGTCTAATATTTTGAAAACCGGTGAATATTTTTCGGTGAAATTTGATAGATATTCGTTTTCGCTCTTTCTGAACCGAGCGACATCACTTTCATGCCAATTCATTAACTTTTTTGAAGGTGGGAGGGTCCCTTTAATGTACAGAGAGCACAGCTTATCAAAATCTGTAAAGTAACAACGAAAATAAATTTTTGCCCAACTCCGCCATTTCGAAAATAATGGTTCTAAGGTTTTAGGGGTTTGTCAGGGACAACATTATTTTTCTACTCTTAAAATTCAAAATCAAAAATGAAAAAGTAATATCATGGGCAAAAATTGTTTCCTTGAATTACAAAATCAGCATAGTGCTGAACTTCTCAGCCTACCGGACCAGCCATTGTTCTACCACAAATTATCGATTCATATCAATGATGTGGGGTTATAAATATGGTCCAAAAACATCAAATTTAAAATATCTTTCAGAATCTGTGCATGATGTTGCCTTTTAAATGTTAAGAACTGAATTTAATAGCTGTTGAATACACAGCCGCCATTGGTGTCCTTGGTCACCCTGTTCCACTAAATGTAGTATTTTTCAAAAACTAGCCTATGGCGGTGTCTAAAACATTTACCAAAATTTACAAAATTGTCTACACTATTAGAAATCAGAAAGCCTAAAGCTCTATGACCTCTGGCATTTTGACAACTTACTTCCGAGTCTCGAATTTAGATTTTTGAGAACCCAACATTTCTGAACGAAATCATTGCTCCTTGGTCAAACTGTCAATCATCTGCTTTAAAAATTCTTTATTAAAATCAAAATTTCATTTTCTTTCCAAATATGGGTATTTTATTGCAATTTAGAAGGTGTTAAGTATATTTTTTTGGTCTAGAATGAATTACCATTCATGCTGCTGAAGGTTACACTATGAAAATTAACGAAATATTACTGAAAAACAAGCCTATGGCGGTGTCTATTTCAAGATGAATAATAAACAAAATTCAATTGTCTATTTGTTGATAAAAGTCGTAAAACATGATGACCTCTGGCATTTACGAGATTCGGTGTTGAAAACTGCAGACCATGATTATCACCCACAGTTGCGCACAGTTTTCTGTACTGCTTTCGCTGGCAAACGCCAGTGCTCGCATTTGATTGGTCTAACGGCGTTTCTTTTGCTAATTGAGAACACTCTGCAGTTTTATTTTGGTTTCTGTGTATTTTGTTGATTATTTTGATTATTGTTGTTGGATTTGGTGATATTAGGCAAGGTATTAGGCATTATTCAGTCACACACTCACACCATTCCCGTGGTATTATGGTAAGCACTTTTAATGTTTTATTGTGAGAGGTTACCTGTGCCAGGTTGGGTGATTTTGTTTAAGTTTTTGTTCTATGGTTTAGTTGAGATTGAAATCACCAGGGCAGAGTTTGTTGCATGCTGCATGCATGTTCCTGTTCCTCATACCCTTGTTCCGCAAGGCGTACATTGTTTGTTTTTATTTATTTGTCATGCCTCAATTACCAATCCTACGAAGTATGTAGTCTACCGCAAGTCTTTATAAACCTAATGCCCAGATTCATTTTGTGCATCTGCTCTCTCTTTGCGCGCTTCCATGGTGTTCTCCCTCTCGATTTCATCCTCTTTCTCCTCTGCGTAGGTATCAACCCCCTGCTTTGGATGGCCATTGAGGTAGGTGCCTTTGGAGCTTGCAGCAATGAGCATTAGAAATGAATTACCAGAAATAAATGATGGTGTGAAAATTAATCAACAAAAGCTGACAAGGATGAGTTATTAAAACTCATCCTTGTCCAAAATATCTCCAAAATATTATATCACTACAAAGTTTTATTTGTGTAGCGATCATGAAGTACATGCCCTGCCCCTCTGGCCAATCCTGGTCAATCCTGCTCCGGGTTGTTCAGACAACTACCCCATGTGGGAAGCCCGAAGCTCCCCCAGGAGTATGGCCATAATAGCTGGGTGTGGTGAGTGTCACAGGACTGATAGCCCTATAAACACAGGTCGGGTGGGAGGGTACCTATTACTATTAGTAGAATAAGCTTAGGATGTTGGTTAAGCCCTTTCCTCGTCACCCGCCTCTGTCACCAGTTTTCTCCTCAGCCTCCAGAGCTGGTAGAGTTCATCCTTGTTCTGCTCCATCTCTTTTCTATCATTGTTAAAGAGGAATGCTTTCAGTATCTCGTTGGGTTCTTCCACGTATGGCCTCGGTAGAGCTAGGTTTCATTGTCTTTCTTCTGTTAGCTTGGTACACTAGCATAAAATGGACTTCATTTCCTTCCTCTTTTCCACAGAGCTTAATTACCGTTATCACCTCATCCACCGTCTGCTCAATGTGTGAGGAATACGGAGACAAAGGCTGCTTGATAATTAAACAAGTTCTGTGTTTTCTCAGGAAGTCAGTACTTTGTTAGATATGTGATAAGTTTAACGTAGGTAGACAATTGCAGTCTTATGTGTCGATTAAACTAAAAGTCTTGGAAACATGATAAGCTTAGAATAACATTCTGCCATTGTGTTCATGTGTTTGGCTTTGTCGTTCCTATTGTAGGTACCTATGCTTTGTAGATTCTGAGTTCTGACCATATTATCTTCCACCAGGTTCATTGCTGGCAGTGGTTCAGAGACAGTGGTTCGATCCCAGCTGTAGAACGTCACCTGCAGGAAGTAGCATTGTGATGGCCAGCCACGTGGCGCGTCTATCCAGCCACATTGTCCAGAAACCATCACATCATCTCCAGGTCAGTAACTGTGTGGACCAGTCCAACGCGTCCACAGGCCACTGGTCAGGCTGTATCCCACCATGTCACTAGGTCAGGGACATAATCGCATTGTGTGACCCGTCGCCGCGTCCTTATAAGGACCACTCACCTATAGGTGGGTGGCTCGGGGGAACTTTTTGTGTTGCCGGGATGGGATGTCTGCTAAATGCAGGTGCCGCTGCAAGTGTCGTGACGTATGATGGGTCTCAGGCTCGGATTTCGATTTCTCGAGTGAGAAATGTGTGTACAGGCTAATGTAATGTTATTATAGCTGAGTGTGCGACAGGAAACGTTAATCATGAGCTATGAGTCGTGGTCGCCGTGGCTCGTAGTGGTATTTGACGACCGTCGTGACCTGTGACGGTCACCGTGACTGCTATGTGATGGTCGCCGCGGCTGGCATATGACGGCCGCCGTGACTTCTATAACGGCCTTCGTGACTGAATCGTGACGGTCGTCTTGATGTGCCGCCACTCGCTGCTTTACAGGTCACTGGTCGCGGGTGCTTGAGTTGACTGTGTCTTCAACGGCTCCACGGTGACCAGCGCCGCCACCGCCGAGACCATCCGATTCCTGAAATGATAATGGCCGTACACGAACAAGAGGCTCTATGCATCCAGATGCAAGTCAAGCGCCATGCTCAGAGGCGTCATCCGGAGAAGGCCGCACAGTGCACTTTAGGCTGAGCTCGGGTGTAGTGTGCGCTGACGGATAGGATAAAATTACGGGCCGGCCATCAGATTTCAGTGCGGGGATCAAGATGGTCGGAGCCGACGTGGCTCGGTTGATGGTGTGCCAGGGTTAATTGAGAGTGGAGGCGAGACACCCGGATCTGTGAAGGATACGCCAATACGGGTCTCGACGTCGTCTCGCAATTTGTGCTATGTAATATGACGGCTATGCCGTGGTATCATTCACTCTCGATGCGCTAATAGATAATAAATAGGACAGAGACTGGAATTAAGATTATTATATTTGCATGTAAGGGGCAGGTTTTGGCCAGCGCTATATTAGAAATCGTGAGCGTGCTAGTTGCAATCAATCGCGCGCTTCCTGCTGAGCATCTGTGAGCGAGAAATTACTTTCTCAGGAACGTTCGTCGTAAAATATGTGTATCTTTGGAATAAGTTGTCAGAACATGAATGAATTTTTGGTGTCCACTGCAGCTGCTGTTCTGGAACAGAAACCTGCCGAGATCGGCTGTGTATGTACTATGTACGCTGTGGCAAAATCAAGCAGCCGTACCATGAATCAAAAGCGATATGTGAATTAAAGTGGATATATTTCACTATTTTTTCAGTTTTATCAATTATCATACAGAGCACAGAAATGCGTCAAATACTGATCACACCCGGTTCCAAACAACAAAACCCTTGCGATCACTGGAAAGTAAATAAACAAAAATATCCATGTGGCTGTCTTGTCTGGCGTGATCCGAGACTCTCTCTCTCTCTCTCTCTCTCTCTCTCTCTCTCTCTCTCTCTCTCTCTCTCTCTCTCTCTCTCTCGCTCTCTCTCTCTCTCTCTCCCTCTCTCTCTCTCTCTCTCTCTCTCTCTCACTGTGTCGTTGCTGACGCACAAAGGACAACACGGCCGAATCGCGACGATGGAGAGCACGGAACGATGCTGGTGACTGGCGGACCAGCGAAAACAGGAAAGGAGATGAATAGCTCTAGCTCCCGTCTGCGTTATTCAACCCTGACTGCTCAAGCTTTTCAAAGGCACATGACACAGCACGGCTAGATCAGCTGGTACCTACCTGTTGACTATTTTTGTTTTTGGTGGTGATGTGTTTGCTGTTTGTCTTTTGCAAGGTGGTCAATGAAATAAAATAATGCATTATTTTGGAATGTTTCCTTGACAGAAGCCAGGAGCCGGATTGATGTGTGCTGGTGAATGAGATGGTTCAAAAGCATTATCTGATGTTTTTCAATGTGCATAAGCCATAACATCCCTTTCATACGCTGAAGTTTTAATAGTTTCTCAGTCTCTGTCATTTTCCTGAAATATTGGTGTAGATAAGAGATATCAGTACCTTCTCAGAGGTACCTGCCTTCTGCTGGATGAATATTTAATTGGTTGGACGAAATGGACAGGTAGCCTTATAATAATGTAATGTGAAATCTTATTTCTATAAAACTTTGAAAATGAAGTTCTAATTATTCATATGTGCATACATTTTTGATGACTAAGAAGGTTTTCCACAAGAGTAGAAAATGTGGGGTGGCGATTACGGCTTGCATTTAGAGAGCCTTGCTATTGACAACCATCACTCGGCTGAAGAAAGTGGAAATTGAAACCTTCGTGAATATAAGACGCTGCAAATATAGGACACCTGTCACTGACGTCGGGTTACCTTGGGCCGTCTTTTTACATTAGATCACAATTCCGGTATTTAACCCTGGCCGGACCGATTGGTTTTCTATATTGACGGGGAGGGTTGGTACAACTCCCTCGCCGTTTCGCCTCTAATTGAGCTAGAGCCTCGCGGAAAAAACAAGCTTGTGTGCCGTTATAAGACGCAACAATTAAGGCCGCCCCACACTGGAACTCGCATGCGGGTTGCGGGTTTGCGGGTTTTGAGTTTGCGGGCATAATACTAATTCATAGAGTGATTAGACCGTTTCCTTATGGTAACTTCATGAATGCAGTGAAGCCGGTACACCTTCAGAAACTTACATATAGTCGCAATACCAGCGCAACGAACCAAAATTCGGCTCCAACGAAAAACCCGCAAACCTCGCAGAACTCGCAGACCTCGCAGCGAGGAAAATCGAAAGTTGACTCAAAATCAACTTTTGGAATGCAATGCAAGGTGGCTCGCGAGCTAAAAACATGCAGACTCGCTTGTTAGATGGTAGTGTGGGTCACTCGGCCTAGATTGTATTATTTGATTTTGAAGAAACCCGAAAACCCAAAAACTCGCAACCCGCATGCGAGGTCCAGTGTGGGGCGGCCTTTAGGTACTACCCGATTTTAAGGTCTTAGGTCAGCCAGTGAACTCTTAGGTCAGGTAAGTGCCACAAGGCACGGGCTCGGTTTTAGGTGAATTACTTTGCCAAAAATGGTCGCACTGCCGCGATTTTGACATCATCGTGTTTGTCTAGCTCAGGCGCGTTGAATGCTATACTTGGTGTTCGGGTGAAGTCAACTTAAGGTGTTAACCTCGGGTCAAGGCCAGGTCGGAGCCCGTCAGGTCACGAAAATGGTTGAAGGAGGTCATATTGCATATCATTCGATTCAGCAGGTCTTCCTGAGTCCAATGGTGGCTTTCCCGACTCTCTAGCTCCATCTGATCAGGAGTTATTGACGAAAAACTTATATGGCCTTAGTGACGTCATAAATGACGTCACGCAAAGTCAACAATGCTTAAGTGAAGCACTTGGACCTTACAAGGAGTGCATGAAACCATTCCCGGTGCCCGAATAGCAGCTCCCAATTTCCCTTGTTGACATAAAGTGGTGCTAGATCCTGTATTATACTCAATTATGACGTGATAACTTAACAGATTCACGTCATATATTTAGTGCTTGACATCCAAATGATAGCTTACATATGACAGAGAAGGTATGCAAAGTTTTATGAAGTTTGCTTCACTAGTTGTGGAATAACAAGCAAAAAACTTTTGCGGAAAGGCCGCTGGCCTCTCGCTGGAGCGTTTCCGACCAGTGTGCGGCGGCGGGCGCCCCGGCCCACTGCAGCTGTCAGTGCAGTGGCCGACTCCCGGCGGCGGCCGGCGCACAGTGGGCCGATATGCCATTCTAGCGCGACAGAGCCTGAATCTTCGAAAGGAACCCTTGGTTTTTCGCGAGTAATTCGCGTAAAAAGCGGCCGATCGCAACGAAACTTTCAGTACCCTCGCGATAACTACTTTTACAGCTAACCTGAAAATTTCATGACCCTGACCTTAATGATCTTTGACCTGTGACCTTCTTTCGAGACCATGTTTGGCCGGAATCGCGATTCAGCGTATGTCGGCTCGCATTAGCCGCGGGTTTGCAGTCTTTTCTTGGCTTAAAGCGTTCAAACATGGGATATTATGTTGCTCCCATGCATTAGGGTGGGTGTCAAGGTCACCAGAAGGTCAGGTAAGGTCATTGACCTTTGATGGCCTTAGTTCACTTTTTCGAGTTTTACATGTTTCTAGGCTAGTTTTTGGAGCTGAATTCGAATCTAGCAACCATTTGAACATTTACTATGTAGATTTGGTGCCTTCGTAACATGTTACAAAGCTGTCAGAGGCGGTTGCCACCTACTGCAAATACCCGGCAAAACCCTTACTGGTTGACCTGACCTGACCTGACCCGACCTGGCCTAAATGTATGAAGACATCATCTATGATCGTAAATAACATTATATTCGTGATCAGCACCCAAAAAACCCATAGCAGCCACCGTTTACGACGTTCTAACAGGTCCCGATTTTCCCGACGTTTGGGTCATTGACCTGACCTGGAAGGTCAATCGATGACCTAGGACCTTACAATTAGGTATCATCAGCTTCCTCTTGTCACGGGCATTACGCTCGTCTTTTCCGCGAAGCTCTAGCTCGATCAGGGGCGAAGCGGCGGGGGGAGGGTCCAACGGACCCCTTCTATACGTTCGCGGCTGGAAAAACACCACTAGGGGCGAGGGTTAAGCCAAATCTGATGGCTTATTTCGGAAAGACCGCTAAAAGAGCAATTGAATGCACTTTTCCGCGACGATGTAGCTCTATTCGTCCCCGAGGTAAGGGCCGGTTTTCGAGAAATGTTGAAATATGCAACATTTTACCTTTGATGACCTCTAGTGACGTGACCTTTGACCTGACCTAGAAATGACTAATTACTCCATCTGGAATTTCGGGCGCTCTTACTACGTGTCGCTATGTAGCCCAAGAGCCGAGTTAGAAGGGGAGTGTTCAATCAGCACCTCCCGGCCCGGCGCGTTTGACGCCGAGCACCGGTCCGGCGCGGGTTGATGTTTGGCTGCTACATCCAAAGTCGCAAAAAGTCGCAAAAAAATGACTGTTGGATCTTGTAGTGCAATGAATCATTGACATGCAGCGAGATTTTCGAAGCGGTACTCTGCGGTACTTTTTTTAAAAGTCTATTTGTGTGTGACATCAATTATGTGAAATTATATTTTCGTCTTTAAATCTTTGCGGTGCCAATACATCATACCCAAGTAAGAGTTCGCCATTTTCATGTGGTTATGTGTGTTCTGCAGATCCGGAGCTATCGTTTGATGCATATAAATGTGGAATTCCTCCTCAAATTGTGATTGTTTTCGTGGATCAAAGATACGTTGTCGAAGAGTGCAGGGGACGAGTTCGGTCCAAACGATTCCGAAGTTCGTGTTTAAGCTGAGTTTTCGCCATGAAATAGCAATTGTGTTTGAAAACAAAGACCACAGCAATGTAGCATGATCGTTTTGGAACAAATTGGTATAGGTTTCATTGCACATCCACAAAGTTCGATTTTTTTACCCATGTCATGCTAGACCTGGCGATCGGCCCTGTGTGCGGCGGTCGGAGCTCCGGGACGGCCGCGCTCAGACCGAGAGCCGACTGTTTAGTGCCGGAGGAGTGGCGGCGCCGGCCGCCGAGCCCGCCCAGCAGCCCGCCACCTGCGGTCGGCGCACCCCGCAGCCCAGTGCAAGGCCCTATATACCAGGTAGGGTCGTACGGCGATTCTACCTGATCGTGACGTCAGCTCGTGACGTCATCTGGGGGCAAGTCTTGAAGCCCCGTTTAAGTCCTATGCAAATGGGCGATTTTTGAAGCGCTGTAGAACAAACCCTGCTAAAGCTAGCACAAAACTAAGTGCATCATCGGAAAGCCGAGACATTTTTCTTCGAATTATCTAAGAAGCGTTTTTCACTAAACCCATTAGTTTTTCCAAAAATGCGTAAAAAAGCCCCCATGCCTCCGCAGCCTCCCTTCCGCCGGTCGCCACGCCGCCGCGGTAGCGTAGTGGTTAGGATGCTTGCGCCGTAATCCAAAGATCGTGCGTTCGAATCTAGGCGCGGGTCGTATTTAAATCGAAATTGCAAGCGGAATATGTGCTTTTTCTTGATAAATCACTTATATTACAGCTAACCGTTCATAAAACTATCGATAACAATTGACTGAAACCCAAAATATAGAATACATTCTGATAAAACAAATTCAAATATGGCGGCCGTTGCGCCAGGCTCCGCCCCCGACTCCGCCCCTTCGTGTGACGTCATCTGTGCACTTGGACACACAGGGAGATAGGGGACGACATGGGCCTGGCCCAGTGAGACATGACGGAGACGACAGCCGGCCG